ATCCTGTTTAAAAGGACACGCAAGGGGGGAAGTCCTTCTTCCTCTCTAAGCTTCCTTTACTCTAGATTTCCTTTGACCGTCGAAGATCTCCCTTCATTACTCATTGTTGTTTGCAATTCTTGCTCTCAATTGCAGGTATCGTTCACTAGAGCATTTATAGGGTTCTTTACCGATCCAATTCAAATGGCTCCTTAGAAGCAAAAGAAGGTGTGGGACGTATGCCCATTTGTGAATTTTATGCATTAAGTCGATATAGCAAAGCTTCTTTCCGATTATGAAATGGCCAAAGCATATGATCTTGGCAAGGGTTTTTGGGCCCCTATGCATGTGTGAAAGAGAAAAGATGACACCTACAATGTTGTAGAAGGTAACGAGCTTTTATGTTTGTATGGTCGGCAAAAGCGGAGCGTGGTATATAGGTGTTTTGAGCCAAAGACTAATGGTTCGAAAGGTTCTGCCAGCTTTATGTCTTAGGCGCTCTATGTTTTGGAGAACCCCATGTATTGTAGGATTTTGCACAATGCTGAGCTTCTGAGGTTAGTCGATCGTTTCATGCACTTCCCTAGTGGAGACAATGTGGACTTTATGGAACTGGTTTTGGCGCATTGGTGTTGTCATACCCACACCTCCCTTGGTGCTTTTGGTGAGTTTGAGGTTATGGTGGAAGATGTTTTTGCCCTACTACCTCCCTTTGGTTGGGACTGTCTCGATTCATCACCTGTAGTATGTCGAGTCTATCCCTAGTGTATTTTCAAGTATCTATACAGTGTTGGGGAATGAAGTGGATCGATTCAAGGCCAAGGTGGATGCCACATCAACCTGTGGGAAGATGCCTCTAGATGGATGGATTAAACATTGGTTTGAGCGTAAAAATGTGATGGATGCCATGGTTAGGAAGGTGGACAACCAATGTCACTTGGTCACATCCATTCTCTATATCGCATCGCGATTCCTATTCCTTGACAGCCATGATTAAAGCCTCTAGATAATATTGGCACCACTTGCCATTCTTATAGCAGGTGGGCATTAACTTCCATTATCTTTGATGTTCTTGAGCTAATTGTACGAGCAAATGGATGATACAATTCACCAAGTGATGGATCCTAGTTGCAAGCAGCAACCCTCTTACATTTTCACTTCGTTCCTCTTAATGTTCATCTGCGAACGGTTCGACTTAGATGTAATTCCATGGGAACTTTCTCCATTGGGTGTTCATATGTCTACTTTGGATGGTTCAGACTCATAGGATGTCACATTAGATGTATGTACGGGAAAGCATTGGCTAAATTACAGGAAGGGTAAGAGTTCTGACATTAATGAAATAGAGGCCCAATTCGCTTGTATAGATGGTTTCTTTCCCCATCCATATGCAGAGAATGTTGCCCATTCCATGCCTTTTCGTATTGACATGAATGCCCTTGAGGAAGGTGAACAATAGTGTGTTGTTGGCATTGATAACCCAATGGTGGGTGCTGCATGCCTTGTCTTGTGGCCTGGTGTTATTAGCTATTTGGACAAGATGGGGGAAGCTCAATCGTGTGTGTACTGTCTCGATCACCTTCTCCATTAGTTTGGTTATGATAGACTGGGGTCCCAATTTTTGCACTTCGACATCGAAGACGAGGCAACACCACAATGGTTTTGCCTTCACAAGCGTCACATGTTTCCCACTGGCCAGATACAAGTGTGTAGAGGTGTGCAAAACTCTCCATTGTGGGTATCTTTGTTCTTTGTTCAATGGATTTCTGTTATTCTTGGTGATCGAGCCCCGTCCAAGGCATGTTAAGGCACCTGGTCATGCGGCAGAACAGCCTAAGGAGAGTCCCCGCAACACCCATAGTTGGCGAGTTGCAACAGTGATGGCGCCTGATGCTCATGCTAACAAGGGTCAGCTCTTGGTTGCCAATGACAAGGGTAAGTGGCCCCTTGAGGAAGTGGGGGAGAGTAGTCAACCCCCTTCTACGAAGAAATAGAGGACGGACATGGCGGGACAGGTGAGGGAATATGTTGTTTCTATCAGGGTTGTCATTCCTATTCACTCAATGACTCTGATGAAGAGAGTGGGAGGTGTCTCCACTCGGTTTCTCCCTCAAGTGCTTCAATTGCGAGAGGTGCAAGTGCAACGGTGTCTTTAGCCAAAAAGGACGGTTTCTGAGGTGTTAGAGTAAGGTTAGAATCCATCAAATGGATGGCCGAACCATTCCAGATGGCTGGTCGAATTTTCAAAAAAAAAAATTAAACTTTATGGGAACCGATTTCCAAGTAAATTATTTCAGGATTGTTCTTGCATTAAACTGGACCAGATTTGAAACCAAAGAGAAGGGAGATTATAACTAATACAAAGTCCACAAATCGCAGATCCTAGAGTGGTATTTCACGCCCAAAATCAGTCCCAAAACTAGCCTCCAATTGAAGATGGCGTAGTGTACAGGAGAAGCCGGATCAATAACATTGTTTTCAGCAAGACTGCTATTCAACTTGCTTAGAACGAATGAGATGTGTGAACTTAATTTCCCTAATGTTTTTCTTACAAAAACTCAAAGGAAAAACTGGCAAAAATCAATTCTTGAAAATGCCAAGTTGTGATGAGTGGGGTTTCAAGGAGAGAAGGGAGAAAATGAGAGAGCACTAGAGTGAGGAGAGCAAGTTCTATTTGCCCTCTTCCTCTTAACCCCCTTACATGAAGCATTCTCCTAATCTAATTAGGAGACTATCCAAATCTGATTTGGGTTTGGACTCTTTTAAGAGATAAGCATTATTCTCTTAAGAGGATAGGTGCTCCATACTTAGAACTATGCCCAATTTTGACCCAAATGTGATAGCTTAACTAATCTTATTAGTAATGGGCCTTAGGCTCATTTTTCTTAAAGGCTCATGCCCTCATGTGTTCCATGGCCACTTTGGGCCTGATATTGTATGGCGTGGGACCCCACAAAGGTCTCACACAAGTCCACGAGGGTTCGGACCCACTTCTAAAAGAGGTTAGGTCTAATTCTTGACCCATAATGATCAAAACACTACACGATAGGGATGACCTCTCCCCTAGCTGCAAGGTGCAATGCCACACTCTCTGCTCAAATGAATTCTGAGATTAAAATCTTTTGTAAACTTTTTTTATAAAATAGTAGTATATAGTGTATAAATACATTGTGCAAAACTAGAATTCAAATACATTTGAAATCTATTGTCAACAATTTAGGTTTCCATCAAAGATAGTGTAAACCCTGATATTCACTTTGTCCAGCAAATGGGTCGATACTATCACTATGATCACCCACTCATGTGAATTCTTAAACTATTCAAACATACATTTTTTTGTTATCTACTACCCGAACATACCCAGGTATTTAACTTTTGATGGATCTCACTTATTGGTATATCAAAAATAGCTTAGTCCAACACCTAGTGTAGTACCATAATCAAGTCTGGGGGTTATGTATTACTTTCTAGTTTTGCCCATCTATCTCTAAAACATCAAAGGCATAATAATGGAGAAAGATCACACCCACTTTGTTGTTCTCATCGGCTATCTTCTCTTTTATGGGAATGGATAATTCTGTTGCACTTTTTTTTTTCTAAAGAAAATTTCCCTTTCATATCCTTAACCTTTTACCCACACAGGGGTGGCCACGAGTCGAGCTTTTCACAAGCTATTCGAGTTTGGCTTGAGCTTCGAGCCAAGCTCGAGCATGATATATAGGCTCATTTGCTAATTGAGCCAAGCTTGAGCCCAATGAAGCTCGACTCGTGAGGCCTGTGAGCCTAGTATATAATAAATTTTTATTATATAAATACATACACACACATACATATTACATATACATATCAATATATAAATATATATATATATATATATATATAGTAAATAATTTTTATTATATATATGATAATATTTTATATATAATAATAAATAATTTTTATAATTCCTATTTTTTGTATGTAAAATAAAACATTTTTGTATGTATATAATAATTTTTATAAATCTTATTTTTTGTATGGAAAATACTAAATATTTTTATATGTATAATTTTTATTTTTTAGAAAAAACTTGGCTTGCAGTCGAGCTCGAGCCGAGCCGAGCACGAACTTGCAAGCTTTGAACCGATCCGAGCTCGAGCTCAAACTCAAGCTTAAGCCTAATATAATTAGTGAGCCGAGCTCGAATAGCCAAGTATTCAGCTCAGCTCGACTCGAATCCACTCCTACCAACACATAAAAAGCACCTTAACAGATCAATTTAAATCAATAATGAAACTAGAAAACTCAAAGTACTCAACTCCAAAATATACAAAATCACCTTATGCTCAGATTGGGTGGAGTACAAATGCAAATATGTACAATGTAAATACATATAAAATAATACAAAATACAAGGCTTTACACTCTACATATTTATATTTTTACTCCTTCCAAACTGAGCCTTGGGAAATATTAGACAGTAACGACACATAAAAAATAAATCCTAGTAACGACACAAAAAAAAAATCCTGGAATCAAAATGTGGATCTTACCAATCTAACAAGTTCTATGGGTTCTGATAACTTTTGAATCCATATCTAATCTTGCATTTTCATAATCTAACATGGAGTATATTTAAGAACTGAAAACACAGAAAGTCAGTTTCAAAAAACAATGAACAGCGTTACCAATCTAACAAGTTCTGTGGATTTTGCCAAAATCCCCTCCCCTCGTTGAAGGTGGTGAGGGGGATGAACTTGGCGATTGAGTTTTCATGGCATGAAAACAATGTTTGTTTTGGTTCAGTCCCAATGTAGGAGAAAATGAACAGTCTTCTTCGAAGGGTAGTTTTAGTGATATAGGTAACTGACGGATCGTTAATGATGGGGACTAAATTTATAGTTTTTAAAAGTTCAAGTATTACAATGGCACGTTTTGAAATTCAGGGGCTAAATTGAGACAATCCAAAGTACAGCGCAATAATCAGGAATTTTCATAATATCATTCTCTCTCTCACGGTAAAGTTCATAAGCTTATCTCTCTGTCTCTCTCCGCGGAGACCTTTTTAAAGCTTTTCTCTTTGTTTCTTTTTCACGAGCATTGCCTGAGCAAAAGAGAAGGCTTGGTCATACTCCGTTAAGAAAGTTCTAGGGTTCCGACTTTCACAGGGGAAATATTTATTAGAGATTAGAGTCCTTGGAATCTCCATTAAAGGCATTTCCCCTGCTTTTCTTTCTTTCTTTTGTTTTATTCTTTTTTCATTTCTGTAGTTGAAAACCTGTCGGAAATTGCCCCTGGTAATCCACTTCTAGCGAGGCTCCGTTTCTGGGGTTCGGAACGGAATCGCCATTGCAGAGTAAAGGAAATCGCGAAATCTGATTTGGTGGTTTGCTTTTTGGTTCTTTCTTACGGTTTTGGGTTCGAACATGTGATTCACAGGATGGAGTGGGGGCAGGAAGAGTTCGCTTTGGAGGGGTTTTCTTTTCTAGGGTTTCAATAGTCAGAGATTGTAGTGATGTTAAATGAGGAGTTGGAATTTAATAGAGCTTTGGTCAGTTGCCTTTTGAGAAACTTACATGTGAAGGAATCGGTTTGAGTTTGACGGAAATGGAGATCTTTTTGATGGATTCTGGTGCGAATTTAGTGATTTGATGGGTTTTAAAGTGGAGGTTTATTGAATTTGTCGTGGGATTCATTAATGGAGGGCTGGTAATGTTAAAACGGAAGTTTCTATATCCTCTTATCGCGATTTTTTTTTTTGGAATGAAACATGTGAACTGAAGTTCTTCCTTGAGAGGCTGAAGGATGCTACAATTTCGTGAGGTGTGAGAGCCTTTGGAGTTGCAGTCTGGTGAATTTCTCAATATGGATCCAACCGGTCATTTAAATTCTTTTAAGCGTAGATATTTGGAAACTTCGAATTTGAATGGTCACAAATGGATAGGGGTTGCCATCGATTCAGATGAAAGATACTGGTATATTACATATGAGTTTGCCTTAACTTAGCTTTGAAATGGTTCGTGCCTGAATTGCTTGAAAGTAGTTGATTGTTTTGCCAATGAGYTTGTAGCTTCTAATGATGGAGGATATATGGCTTTTCAAACAAGGCTGGAAATGGCTCCAATCACAGAAGCATTTATACTCAGGTACACATACTGCGGTGAGCTGCTTCAGAGACAAAATTGTACTTTTGATAGATCGCCACTGGCCAGTGGTATGCAGTGGTTCTGTAAAATTTGGGAAGTTCCTCCTGATTTTATTGTTGCAGTGGAGGGACTGCATAGTCCGTGGTTTTGGGTCATTGGCAGGCTTGGGCACTGCAGCACTGCTGATTATAATGTGGAGTTGCTTCCTCAGCTTGACATCGATGTCTTGCCTGCTGTATGTATTTCTGAGTCTGGTAAGTCTGTCCTCATCAATTTGTCTTTCTGACCTTTTATTGGTGCTGGGTTGCTTGCTAATTGCTAATGTTCTTTAATTTATGACTGTTCTTGTATCAATCGCTCATTGTTGGTAAAGAGGTCTTATTGTTGTATCAATCTATACAAGAGATCCGATGTTGATAATATAATGAACCCTCTCAAGAAAATTATGGATTGGATTATATTATGACTAACTCTAGTTTCATGTTACCAGCATTTTATTCATACTTATTTACCAATAAAAAATGAGAATTAGGTATCAGCTCTATTAGGAGGAACTAAATTTGCATGTCAGATGGTTTACATATGATGGTAACTATCGCTCTTTGAGATGAACCGACTCTTTCTTGATTTTATGTTGTCTATCTCTGCAAATTCTATGGGTCAAAGCACTGAAGGAAATGCATTCAAGCAATGTTTTAGAAGGCATGCCCCTAGGTGCGCATTTGAGGTGCATTTTAGGGCATGCATGCACCTTGCTTGAGCCCAGGCACAGCCCCTTTCAAAAGGAAGGCACATGCCTAGGCATGTGCCTGGGCTGAGGCACAAGGTGATCCAGGTGTGCACCTTTTATAAATTTGCTTTTTTAGTTACTTTTTGATACATTGTTTCATGTTTTAAGACTTTGCAATAACCTATTAGCTTCTAAAATAACCTTTTTATTGGTGCTTGTGCACTAGTAATGGTTTACTAACTTTTTGAAAGAAGTAAAGAATAAAGACCTTTTGAATACTTGAAGCCCTGGTTGTCATGAATGGGATCTTAGTGTTCATAAAATTTCCACTAAAGAAGTAATAAATACAATTGATCTCTGGTTCCTGTCCCTAAAAGGCTAAAACACAATGACCTATGATCTAATTACCAAGATCACAAAACCAACATCTTTATATATATGGGCCAAAACATTGCAGCTTTCTCCCTTTGCAAACACCCCAACTTTGAATTTCCTAGGAATAGGAATGAAAACTAGCTGCTTGAAGTGATGGGACTATGTGATAGACAAAAATGTTGATAATTTTACATGTTTTGAATTGTTGAATGCTTGAAACACCTTGATATGATACATATTTATTTGCTTTTACTTTTACTTTGAATTTGTTTTGTATGTTATTCTAATTTTTAGTTGAGCTAATAGTTTTTTCTTGGAACATTTATTTTCCTTTAAAATTATTTTTTGAGATAAGATAACTAATTTCATTAAGATCAAAAAAAGGGAGGGATGTACATGAGGAGATGTACAAAGCCTTGTCATCAAAACAAAAACAAAAGACAAAGCCCACTACATTGGCAAGGTATGATCACTATACAAGAAATCCATTCCCAGCCCAGATTTGTTTTCCTTTAAAATTCAAGATTGCATATTTTTATGTACCGATTAATTTTCTAGTTTTGAAATAAAAAATTTGCACCTTTCTTTGTTAGGGCAAGTGCCTTGCCTTGCACTTGCACCTTGGGTGCTAGAAAGGCCCTCTAATTTTATAAAGTTTTAAACTATGGCCCTAAGGCTGAATTATTCCCCCGCCATGTTGTCGTGTTACTGGCTCAATCGTCTGGGTCAGCGGGTTAATCCATGGCGTCATGACAATAAAATTTTTAACAAAGTATTTAATAATAGAAAAAACTGCCAAACCAGTAAATATGTCAAGGAGTCAACCATCCAGGTCAATGGGTTGTTGACTAAGTCAATATTTTTTTTCTGTAACATAGCAGGTTGGATGCTTAGCATAATTGGATTGTGACTGGATCACTGGTCTGATCATCCAGGCTAATGATGGGTTGAAAACATTGTTGGCCACTCACTTTTAAAAACTGCATACAAGTTTCTTACTATACACATTTTCATTTCTACTATTAGGAAAATATAAGATTGTTTTGGAGTAAATTCTTGATTCTTTAGGCTCAATTTATATTAATAGTTATTTTTATTGACCAAAACAAAATATATTCTTATTAAGCATCTATTGAATGGAAGAATTACTAGGGTAGTAATTGGATAAATAATTTGCTTCCATAATGAGCTTTGTTCCACATTTTAGCCTTTGTTTCACAACTTATACTCAGGCTTATTTTTTAATACTTAGTAATTACATTTCATTTAAGATATTAAAGGAAGGGCTTCAAAACAAAATTGAAAACAAAAGAACTGTGAAAAGAATTCTTCAAACAAAATATTTCTTGATGCTGTAATCATCTGTCTTGGCACTTGCTTAGGTGGGATAAGTTTTGTAGGCCTAAGAAGTTTGGGGGTTTGGATTTCAGAACGATTAGAGATCTTGGTTTTGTGCTATTGGGATAATGGTTGTGGAGGTTTAGTAAAGAAAGAGAGGCATTGTGGAGAAAGGTGACTATTAAGTGTTAACAAGTATGGGTTCACTTTACTGATTAAAAAAATGTATGGGTTCACTAGTTTTGAATGGGACACTAGGGAGGTGTCAACAATGTATGGGTTAAGTGTGTGGAAAGGCATAATGAAATTTCACACAAGTTAGGCGCACCAAAATCTTGGTTGGGGATGGAACACGGGTCAGATTTTGGGAGGGTGAATGGTTAGGTGGGGAGATTTTGTGAAATATGTCCAAGGCTACAGGTTAAGCTTTGAAGGAATTAGTTAAATCCTTGAGAAGAGGTGAGCAAATTATTTGGTGCGCAGTTTTTAGAAGACCTCTCTTCGATAGAAAGTTGGGGTGTTCTATCCCATTGAAAGAACTGAAGTTTTTGAAGATGGATCCAATAGCTTCAGGTAACTGGTGATGGAAAGAATGCAAAGATGGCTTTTTCAGAGTCAATCCTTCTTTGTGGCTTTAACTAGACACTAGATTTTCAATTCTAATTTATGTGGGGTTCAGGGAAACCCGACCTCACCTTGGGTGGAGGCATTTGCTTGGTGGAATGGACAACATTCTGACCTTGGGTCATTTGAAATCAAGAGGCTTTCTGTTTCCTAACATGTGTTTTTTATGTAGAAAAAAGAGGAAAATGTAGACATCAATTTATTCACTGCTTGCAGGCAACTTTCTTCAATATGTTTATCAAGTATTATGTTTGTTCGTGGAACTCAGTTTATTTTTGGGAGGATGTGTGGGTTGGTATCTCTACTCTTAAGGACCTCTTCCCTTCTTTGTACTCTATTTCATTTCAGTGTATAAAAGGGAGGTTGTCTTGAGTTTCCTCACTTCTGCTTTTCCATTGGAACTAAATTGGAATCTTGGTTTTCAAAGAGGGTTAAGGGAAGAGGAGTTGGTAATGTCTGTTTGGGTCCTCTCAAACCAGATAGACAGATTTGGTTCCCCCACCCAAAAGGTTTGTTTTCTTGTGCATCCTTTTTCAAATCTCTCTATCAGTCTCCTAACCCTAGGTTTCCTTGCTGTAGGATTGTACCCCCAAAATCATTGCGCTTTGCTGGGAAGTGTTTTATGGGAAAGTAAACACTTTGGACAACTTACCAAAGCGAAGACCCTTCCTCTATATATCCCTGAACTGGTGTATTCTATGCAAATCTAATGGTGAGGATTGTTATCACTTATTTATTTTATGTTCTCGGGCTGCAAACTTATGGGGTCAGTTTTTCTCCTTATTTGGGTATGGTTGGAATGTGCCTTCAGAGATATGCATGTTATTTAACCTGTCTACCTTTGCCTGGGGTAAAACCGTAAAAGAAGAGGAAGTGTAATGTGGAGATGTATGAGAGCTGCAATGATATGGACTATTTGGAAAGAGAGGAATGCAAGAACCTTCTTAGAAAAGGAAAAGAGTTTACAAGAACTCGAAGAATGTGTGATGACCAGGGTAATACATTGGATTGTTTTTGACAATTCTCCTTTAACAAGGATCGAGTAAATTTAGTATGGAGACCTCCTCCAATAGGTTTTGTGAAACTGAATTTTGA